TAACAAAAAGGAGCAGTCACAATAAATGAAAAATTTTCAATTTGATATATACACACATACATACAAGTCAAAACTAATATCAATTTAATAATAATAAATTTTCATTCCTCGACAAAAAAAAGCTACGAAAATTTATGTATTTTTTTTTAATGTATGTTTTTATGTAACTATTGACACGCTTTATAACCGCTCTACCTTTCATATACATAATTTGAAATAAATATTGAAAAGACATTTTCATAATGTATCTATTCATATCAGAGTTTTTTCTTGTAGTTATACCATAATTTTCGTAAGTCGTTTTCATACGCAATCAACAATTTTTTTAACACTAATTAATACTAAACAGCACTACGAGTATTATAAATTAGGATTATATACCATCAGAGCTTCATTTTTTTTTAAATTTTAAATTTTTTGACATAGGTTTCCGCTTATAGAAATTTTCGGCGGAAAAATATAAAAGTTGTCATGAAGTGTAAAGTTTACATCTGTCTATTCGTTCTGCAAAATAATACTATATTTTATACTAATTTGAAAGAAAAAATTGAAGTTGTTGCAAAAAATATAAACTTTTTTACTTAATTCATCGGATATAAGTCAATGCTTTTTATAATCATCGGATACAACAGTTTATTAAAATCAACAAAAATAATCAATAAAAATGAATTAATTGTATAATAGTATATTAATTGACACTATGCTAATTATTATAGATTTTAGGGGGCCAATGAATGGTTTTTAATTCCTTATATTTGGAGAAGAACTAGTAGCACTCGTAATAAGGATGATATTTTCTTGCTTGGCGTCGCATTTTAATTAAAAGACAGAACCGAAATTTCCATCTCAATCTGACTGAATTAAGTTCGGAAAAGCAAAGAAAAAAAAGTATAAAATAAAATAACGGATAATAGAGTTCATGCGATGGAAAAAACCACTGGGTGAAGTTAAAAACAAAAAAAAATGAAATCTCACTTGCCTGCACAAAAAAAATTCTCTATCAAATCTCGACCTGGCTCCAATAACAGTATTGCTAAGCGAATTGTGTATCTGTTTTTCCAGTAATAGCTTTAAATTTTTATTGAGTTAACAAAGCTCTATTTAATTTAAGTCAATAAAAGTAACAGTTTGGGAAGCTGTAAATTTTAAATAAAAATAGCACTAAAAGTTAAGAAAATACTTTTTCAGTAAAATAATTATACAAATAAAAAAATACATAAACAAAAAAAATACTTTTACTAAAATATCTCGGAGCACCACGCGGTAGATACCAGAAACTAAAAATATGACATCTTTTCCACTAAAAGACATGCGCAATCAAAAAGAAAACAACTTTGCTTAGTGAAATCAAACCGATTCTTGAAACTAAAACGGAGCCTTGAATAACGATCGAAAATTTGATAACAAGATTTAGCACACAAAATAGGGCATGAACAGAACAATGCAATTAAATTTAAAGAAAATTTCAAGGTTGACTCAGGTGGAAAGGGAAATGAAGAAACATAATATTAAGATCTTTCGCATAAATATCATATAGGGCATAGGCGAAATATCTAACTCACACGGAAACATGGTTGTTTATGGTTGGTCGTGGTATCTTTAATATTCGAGGCTCTTTCTGAAAGAATTATAACACTCAGTACGAACAAAAATGAGAAGTATTAAGTTCGTACAGTATTGTTCCTCCATAGAAAGAGCAAATGAAGAAAACAAAGACACATTCTACTCCTAACTTTGGGCAACATTTTCCTTCAGGGGCGTAAACAATAAAACATCGAAATAAGTCCCTTGATTTTGAATGTCCAATATACATTTTCATGAAAAAAGAAAACTGGGACCTGCCAGCCACTAAACAAAGATGAAGCAAAAATTTGTTTTAAAAATACCACAGGAGAAACAGGAAACACAAATTCAAATAGTTGAAATAGAAATGATACTCAAACAACTGCGTGATATTATTGGCCATGGTATACTCAAAAAAGAAAACTCTTCTTTAGTAGGTGATGAACAAATTTAACGCACTCACAAATATAAAAATCAAGACCACCATACAACACCATACAATATACACCATACTCGTACAATCAAAGACAGAACAACTAACTTGATCACAAATATGAAAGAAAAAACTGTGAGATGGAGTGAGCATTCGAGGCAAGTATTTTAAATGATGAACTTCCAGAAAGAAAACCAGAAGGTAATAACAATATGGACTACTACAATATTGAATCTTCATCTCATAAAAAACTAAGAAACGCAAACAACAGATTAAATAATGGCAGGACTGACGGCGCAAATAAGCCGACTAGCTGACTCATGGTTACAATTACAAACTCTCGGGCCAATAATAACAAAGATATGACCCTGTAAACTTAAGCCCATGTATAAAAATACGGACTTCAAGGTAATACGGATAATATTGGTATATCTACAGGTTTCAAACAGCGGGGTCCTCAATTGCCGTTCCTCTTCATAGCGGTATTTATCGATGTTGTGAGGAAAGCAAATTCAAAGACATTTTACATTAAATCGGGGTTGGTCATCAGACGGGATCCTTTTGAGTATATTGATAAAAGCCGCACACATACAAACTAAAATTAATATCCCAAAGAGGGGAACGGGGGCAATCGTCCTCAAAAAGTAAGAAAAAATGTAAAATAGAGGCCTAAAAGGCAAGAAGTGAACTTGGCTGTGCAAGATACGTTTGGAATTCGTCCCATCTAGGAAGAAGCAGGATAATCAGGATATTTAATGCCTGAGCCAAAACAACTTTGCTATATAGCTGTTAGACATGGATGGCGGAAAAATCTCATATCAACAAGGATACATTACGTGTAGATAAAAAAAGAAAGTGAAAGAAACACTTCACTTTTTTGTGGCAAAAGCTAGCGAAGTTCGCTATTATGATATGTTAGTAAGATTTAAATTGAAGAAAGAGGAAGAGTGATTTCCTGTGGCGAAATTTAAGATAAAAGAAAAGGAAAGATACAATTAATTTCTTTGGAAGAAGTAAAAACCTTTTGCTTTTTTAATTATATAATTTTAATGTGCCTGTGATACAGGGACTATCAGACATTTTTGTTGATTTGCAAACTTTTTAAGTGCTGCAATATATGTTCAATGTGTTACTATTTTTGAAATTTTTTAATTTTTTAAAGTATGTACGTGTAGTAGCTTGAAAAACCGATTAAATAATCAGAAAAAAAATTCCTTAAAAAAATTGAACTTTCGATTGCATAAATTCCGAGGACAGGTGCTAGAGGCACTTTAGTATATAATATTTCAAACGTGCTAGTATATAATATTTTGATAAGTTGTTACTTCAGTATGACGACGCTTTTCTGTGTGAATATTTAATCGTGTGTCAAAATTGCTCACATCATGTCTTCAATTTTGGATTATCTTTATAGATGAGATTTGCGTAAAAATTGTTTAGTTGAATCAGGAATTTTGTGTGAATAAAATTTATCGGAATAATAGAATATAACTTATATTGAGTAAACTCTTTCCTCTATGAAATCAAACGTCCGCGTTTGATCAAAAATATTGTATATTGCTTATTTGGATAAATGGGTTTCGTTCTAGTAGCAGTGGTGGACTATGATTCATTTGGTTTCCTGATTGTGTTGGGTGTTAAGTTTTTGAATAGAATTATTATTATTATGATTTAAGATGTTAACAGAGTTATCAAGCTAAAATTTATAACTTTATCGATACTGGTATCTGAACCTAATAGTTTGATATGTTGGATGTTATTTACGTGAAGTTCTTTTAACATTTCGACATATAACATTTATGTTTATACTACTTTTCTTCCAATTGATTTGCAAGATAGGGGGAACAGGTATTGATTTATCTCGTCCGAAACGTTTCATTTATTACTTATATTAATTGTGGACGATAAATGTTCCACTGAGATTTATATAATCCCTTCTAATATCCTTAAATTGGTTAAGGAATAATATTCCATGCAAGATTTCCTCGGATTCTGAAATGTGTTGATTATTCACCGCGGCGCATCCGTATGGAAGGATTTGCAACAACTTTGGTATGCAATTTGATTTAGTGCTTTTTTTAAATTTCTATCTGAACATAATATTAAATTGTTTATTGTTGTACAATGACTACTAATTCCAAAAATTTGTTTGTTTCATTTTAGATTATTTTTATATGGTAATTTTAAAATTAAATTGTCCCTTTTTAAGGTTTTTATGAACAGAGTCTTTCAGAACCCGGTATTGGTTGTTGCCTAACTAATTATATGAAGCATGATACAACTAACTTTTTACTATTTTAACATTTGCCGAGCTAAGTGATTTCATTTTCCTAGATTTTGATTTTATATTGGCCTGTTTGCATGGTTGATCTCGTTTGAATGCTTTTGTCTACATCCATAGCATAGGATAGATATTTCTTAAAGATGGGTGGACTAGTCATATTGTTGGAAAATGGTGAACGAATTAAGTTTTTAGGTATATGAAAACCAATTGCGGGTAGAAAGTTGTGTTTTGATTTTGCTGATTCGCACATGTCAAATTTCTGTTATTGAAATCTATAATTTTAGCCGATAAATTTGGGTTTAATAAGTTATTAATCCTTCGTGATCCTCGTGTTTGAAATGCACGTTAGGCTATAACAAGTAAGTAACAAATGTCTGTTGGTCTGATTAGTTATTGTGCAAAGCAAAAGGTCTTATAGGTGAAAAGTATATTAAAAATTTTCATTAACTGAATTTTCAATTTTTATAATTTATGATTTAGTAACAAATTTGTGTTTATGATTGTTGTTTACATCAGTAGTAAATTTGCACAACTGTAATTATAAAGTTTGCATGTAAGATTTAATATTAAATTTTAATGATTAATTGTGCAATATATTTTTATACCAAGTTATTACCATTTTATATAATTTATTACCAAGCAAAATATTACAATATTAACTTAATAGAAAGAAAATAATAGAAATTTATATTAATCAAAATTATATTTTTGACATATTACCTTCCCACAAGTTTTACATTTATTTTTCTCAGCTCGTCTATGTACCCAATGATGCACAGTTTGTGTTTGTTCCCGATATTGACGTATTCCCACATCACGAAAAGTTGGTTTACATGCTAGTTGAGTTTTTTCATTTATCTTGGGAATACAGTTAATGTGGGCTACCAATTGACACGCAGAGCATTTCATCCGTTGTCCGCTTCTCTGAAAATAAAAAAGAAAGAAGTGGGTAACATATTACATTATTATGATTCATCATATAACGAAAAAAACTAAATGTACATTAAACTACTTAAAAAGAAGAAATTAAGAAATGTGAACGTATATGAATACATAAATATTTTTTTTTCGCTCGTATTTATGTCTTTAGCATAAACTTTATAACACATTCAGTTAGGATTATCACCTCCATTCTCAAAAAAATTTTCATTTTTTTCTAAACCAAGGTACTTTTTTTCGGAAACGGTAATGGCAGATGTCCAAAATTTTTAAAGAATCAGTAGGCCTGTCTTGTGTCCTTTGGTTTTAACGCTTTTTCGCGTAGCTATTACGCGATTTTATAATTTACTACGTGTTACCTTGTTTCCCTATCAATTTCTCAAGGAAAAACTATCCAATATAATGTCTTTGCAAATATATGTATGTATATAAAAACAATAACAACAAAATGTTAAACAAAGCTCAATTGCAACGATTTTTTCACATTAGTAAAATTCCCTAAGGTTAAAAATATAAAAGTTACACAATTTTTAAGCACATAATAAATATAATCTACAATATAGAATTACTTAAAAAAAATTTTTTTCCCACTAGGTGAAAAAATCTCGAAAGACGAGGAAGGACGACTCTATCTGCCTTTTCCTTCCGACGGTGGGGGAGTGTGACTCCTACCCTAAAAGATCACTTGAACTCTGAACGGATAAAACTGGTCCTACAGACCAACTATTGCCTCCGTGTTAACTTGGTTTTTCCGTGCAGGAATTAAATGCCTTCCATAAGGATATTGGTATTTCGTGTTAAATCGAATGGTCTTGTTCGTTTAAGTCTTTCTGTCATAACGCCATTGTCTAGCAGCCGAGCTGCTTCCATATTTACATGCTGTTCTAGACGAGCCCTATTCTTTGTAGCACAACTCCTAATTTCATCCGCAACCAAAGGAATTCCTAAGTTCCTGTGGACATCACTGTTACGTATATACCATGGCGCATTTACCACGCCCCGTAGAACTTTATTCTGGAAGGTTTGAATTTTGTTAATGTGAGTCTTCTTGGTAAACCCCACAGTTGAATGCCATATAGCCATATTGGTTTAATGATTTGGCCATAAACTAATATCTTATTATCAATTGCCAAACTGGACTTACGACCTAGGAGCCAATAATTTTCTCTATGTTTATTCTCTAATTCTATGTGTTTCTTCTTTATATGCTCTTTCCACCTTCGCTTGACATCTAAAGTCATTCCTAGGTATTTTGCTGAGTTATGGATCGCTACGTTCGTGCCATTTAAGTTGATTTGTGGTGGATTCACTATTGTCCTATTGGTGAAGTTAATGTGAACCAATTTTGCTTCATTCAACTTCATCTTCTAATCCCTAGTCCACTTGCTTGTTTTGTTAATTGCCTCCTGTAATTTTTTTTGCCGAATCGTCAATGTTCGCTCCTACTGCCAATATTGCAGTATCGTCAGCAAAAGTGGCTATCGTAGTATTTTCTATTTATTCTATTTATTTCAATATACTGCCTTGAGGCACACCTGCCTTTATTTCCCTTAGCGTGGAGTATTCAGCATCTTGTTTAATTCTAAATAATCTATCAGCTAAGTAAGACTTCAAAATTCCTACAAATGGCGATAGTAACATTTGCCCTAACTTATGTATAAGGCCTTTGTGCCATACCTTGTCGAATGCCTGTACTACGTCTAGAAATATAAAAGAGCAGATTTCCTTATTTTCTAGACTTTTTCCTATAATATTCGTTATTTTATGGACCTGGTCTATTGTAGAATGATTTCTTCTAAAACCAAATTGATGGTTCGGTATTAGGCCCCTATTTTCTATTATTGGCTTCTATCTCCTTAATAGCAGCTTCTCAAAAAGCTTAGACATCATTGGTAATATTGAAATGGGCCTGTAAGACTTTATTTCCTTCAAGGATTTCCCGGGTTTGGGCACCATAATTACATCCGTGACTTTCCAAGCACAAGGAACATACCCAAAATGCATAGCTGCATTCATGATTTTCGTCGGATGTTCCAATGCCTTGTCTGGTAGCTCTCTCAGTACTTCCGCAGTAATAAGATCAAAACTTAAGGGATCTTATCGTTATAAGATTTTTTCAACTTAAGGGATCTTATCGTTAGACGTAAATATGCCTAACTCGTCAAGATGGAAAATATTCGAAAAATCGGAATGCCTTAGCCTTCCCTTTGGATATACGTTCATGCGGGTATAAAAAAGGGATTTTCGATAATTAAGTACTTACATAGAATTAATATTAAGCATGCTCAACTAATCAAAACTGTAAAATCTGCAAAATAGGATATTTTTGTTAAAAAAATACGTTCGAAAATCGTAGCTGGAATAAAATTTTAAGTTGTCAAAAACTTTTTTTTAATGTTACAATTAATGTCTTATATATCTATCAGGTCACCAGGCTTAAAGAGCGAATGAAAAATAAACTCGAAATTTATATGGAGTTTAAATAGAAAGGGTGTCGGTCATTGATCAATATTTTTAGCTCTACTGATCCTACATATTTTCTTAAATTTAAAATTTAAATTTCAAAAAATCGGTTGGTAAATAATTTTAGTAATCTAAATGGCTTTTAAAACCTTACTAAATAAACAGCGAGTCACAAAGAATACTTAGAAATTTCACAAAAAAAATAAAAAGATATTTCAATCGCTTCAATCATACTTCGAAAACATAAAACATTAAGAATTGTTTTTGTAACTTTTTTCCGATTCAAAATTTCGGTATATTATTTCAGCTTGGTGGCCTGATATACAGGGTGTCTCGTAACAAAGTGCACTGCTATATGACACTGTATAGGTCTTCATGAGTAAACAAAACTTTTGTATGCAGACCATGTTCACAGCTCAACAGGTTCAGGCCTATAGGGACTTAAAGTCAATTTCGACTGATTTTTGTACTTTTTGAAATTTTAAGTAAAACTCCGGCACTATGTAAGACAGGCGCATTAACAAACATATTTTGTAAACCTCAGAGTAATGGCTTTCTTGTGAATACCTACATTAGCTATAATATGTTCAAATTTCTGAATCACATGACTTTAAAATTCGAAAAAGTTGAAATTTGGACTTTTTATTTTTAGAAAACGTGAATTTCTACGTGACGTAACATAGGAGCTTTCTCCAATTTTAGCACGACCTTGAGAACTGATATACAAATTTTTTTTCTCCAATGACTTAGAAATGTGCAACAACCGTTCAAAATTATGTCTCTGTTCTATTATGCAAATGCTGAACTTAACAACCGAGTTTCCCTCACATTTGCAAAAATTATTGACCTGGCGAATATCATATGAGGAATACCATATGGGGTTTTGATTTCAATAATCTTAAGTAGTAAGCTCTTTACTGCATAAAAACATCGTGCACAATAAAAGTAAGCTAGTATTTTCGCTTATCGTTCTCTTTCATCTGCAGAAATCTTTGTTTATTAAAATCTGTAGAAATCTTTGTTATTTGAGTATAATAATTGAGGACAAGTTATCTTCCTCGTTGATTATTTGACAAAAAAGACAGCAAGAATTACTGGAGTATTTAGGAAAGTATGCAAAAGGATTCGTGAGAGGCTGAAGATCTCCATTTATTATTGCCTGTTTCATAGTGTAATCACGTAATGAATCATAATACTCGTATGCGGTAACACATTTCTCAAAAATTCGGAAATTCTTCAACGAATTCAAAATAAAGCTTACAAAAATCTTTTCGGGCACCATTATAGAACGCCAACTAATTTAATCCACTCAAAATACCATATTTTGAAATTAAACGAGTTTAAGGAACTTGCGCAATCAACGCATATTCATAGTTTGAGTTTCACCTGTCTTGTACAGTACCTTAAATTATCTTTCTATCGCCTTCTACCTAAATTATTGTTTATTTTGCTTACTTGACATTCATCTGCTAAACAGCATAAGTCTCCAGACATAGATGTTTGTTTCCATAAATGATCACCATTTATAGCATTCTCTGTCCAATCTGGTACAATATGAATTGGGCGCTTTACTCCACCACCACCAGCAGCACTTGGTTTGCCACTAAAAAAAATGTAATATTTCATTTAAAATGTAATAATGATTTATTTATAGTCAATATTGAAATACTAAAATATATTTAATATTCCTAATAAGCAGTTTTGCATAAAAGAAACATTTTCGACAATTAAAATTATTAATTATTTATTAATTAGTTGTATTGTAAAGACAACATTTTTTTTAATCTAATTTTTTCGAACTCTCCAAAACTATACCTAGAAGTCCTTCCCCCGTACATGAACATTTTTTTCTTTTAAAGAAACTACAAAGAATCACGACTTAGAAGTTTTGAAACTATTTCCGTACTTTTTCACGTTCAGTTTTTTTCTTTAATTACACCAATCATTTTAAAATTTAACGCAACACAACTATTTTTTTTTTGTATTTTAATTAAAAAAGAAAAGAATTATAATATTGTTATAATTCTTTTCTTTTTTAATTATAAAGAAAAATAAAAACAACTAAAAACGTTTCAGTCTGTATAAACCGACTGAATAATACCCTGTACTTTGACAATCTGAGTTTGAAAGTTTGTTTTTGAAATATTCAGAATTTTCAATTATTCTACAATTAATATTTCTTTTAGTTTTTAAATAACCTTTTGAGTTTTTACAACTCATAAGCTTGTTAAGTTGTATATGAGAGAGAATATATATATACATATCCATACCGGAGATGACTTCCTCAAGTAGTTACGAAGTTTATACCAAAGGTAAGATATTTGATAATGTTTTTGAGCATAAAAATAATTATAATTATAGAGGATCCGTTATAATAAAAAATAATTATGCACATTTGAACAGCTTTATAATTATGTATGAAAAAATTTGATAGAAATAAAACAATAGCATTTTTTTTTAATTGGTTGTGCTACCTATAAACCTAAATTAAAACCTAAAATTTCGTTTTTTGCCACAACAACTGTTCCTAAAAGTGTCAAATAATTTGAAAAGCGAACCTTTTGGTTAAAAAATATTAATAATTGGGAAACAAATAAGCTAAATTTAATAAAAAGGAAAAAAGAACGACAATTGTTATAATTTTAAAATTAAAAAGATTTCTGAACCATAAAATTTTTTTAATGTTTGGCGGCTTACATAAGCCTTGTAATGCAAATATTTTGTTTTAAAATTTTCTTAAAAATTGTTAGGGAAAAAAATACAAAAAAAAAAGTGGGGAAAATTTAAATTTTTTTAAAGCTGGAATACTCGTATTTCCGAAGGCACATATGATTAACCAAATAATGCTTAATATATTGTAATTTTAATTTTTAAACCAAGACTCGATGGAACTCTCAAAGAAGAGTGACAGAACTCCTCCGACGAACAAAAAATTCAAACTTCAAAATGAGTATGCAAAAATCACTTCACTTTTTATATTTCTCTAGTTATCACTTAAAATGTAAAAATTGGACGATTTTCGAGAATTCCAACTTTGAGATATAAATCGAAGAGGAGAGCAAAAAGCTAAATAGAAACATTTTTTTTTCGTTGAGGGGTATTCTACCACTTTGCTTCAGGAGTTCCGTCAAGTCGCGGACGTTCAGTATATGAATGTATGTATGTATATGTTCATATTAAAAATGTATTTGCTAAAATTCGTGGGAATGTTATCGACACAGATTTATTTATTTCCTTTCCAAAGATTCAGTACACTTTTTAATTAAAAAAAATCAAAATAAAATAAACATTGAAAAATTTTTATAGGATTTCACCAAACTATAAGGATATTTGTGATACCGGTACAAATTTGTTACCCTATGTGCGAATAAATATGTCATAGCTGACTAAAGAACAGACTATGACCTTAAGCTGCCATATTAATTTATGCAAAATTTCATTGTGTGTCTGTGTTTTCAATATTTTCTAAGATACTACGGCCAAGCTACTACTGAAGTTACATGACAGGTATCAGAAAGAGCCATGCAATTTCAACGATTTTTATCAAATGCATTGACCCTACTAATACATTGGCCTGTGCAAAATTTCAATATCACAGCTTTTATACTTTTTTGGATATAGTCAAATAACTTTTGAAGTTGTATGGCAGCTACCATAAAAGGAGCCAAACAATTTCAACAACTTTTATCAAACACATTGGCCCTACTAATAAATTTATTCGTGCGAAATTTCAATACTGTAGCTTTTATAGTTTCTAAGATATTGTCAAATATATTTTGAAGTTGTATGGCAGCTACCCGAGCCAGTACCCCGATAATATTTAATTTAAATGGGTTTCTGGCTATTACTATAATAAATCATTTGTAAAAATTTCGCGGACTTAGCTCAATTATTTTTGAGTTATCATTGGGACAAACGGACGGACGGACAGCAAAGCTAAATCGACTTAGAATTCGGCACTGATCAACAACATACGCTTGAGTCTATATCTCAGACCATTATTTCTTAGCCTTCCCTTCGAACACACGTTCATACGGATATAAAAAGGGGATTTTTGATAATTAAGTAGTTACATAGAATTAATATTAAGCATGCTCAACTAATCAAAACTGTAAAATCTGCAAAATAGGATATTTTCTAAAAAAAGTACGTTCGAAAATCGTAGCATGACTAAAATTTTAAGTTGTCCAAACCTTTTTTTTAATGTTACAATTAATGTCTTATATATTTATCAGGCCACCAAGCTTAAAGAGCAAATAAAAAATAAACTCGAAATTTATATGGAGTTTAAATAGAAAGGGTGTCGGTCATTGATCAATATTTCTAGCTCTACTGATCCTACATACATATTTTCTTAAATTTAAAATTTAAATTTCAAAAAATCGGTTGGTAAATAATTTTAGTGATCTAGTTGGCTTTTGAAACCTTACTAAATAAACAGCGAGTCACAAAGAATATTTAAAAATTTCACAAAAAAAAATAAAAAAATATTTCAATCGGTTCAATCATACTTCGAAAACATAAAACATTAAGAATTGTTTTTGTAATTTTTTTCCGATTCAAAATTTCGGTATATTATTTCAGCTTGGTGGCCTGATATACAGGGTGTCTCGTAATAAAGTGCACTGACACTATATATGCCATTATATAGGCCTTCATGAGTAGACAAAACTTTTGTATGCAGACCATGCTCACAGCTCATCAGGTTCAGAGTTACAGGGACTTACTTTTTGAAATTTTAAGTATCAGGGACGGTGTAAGACATTTGCATTAACAAACATGTTTTGTAAATCTCAGAGTAATGCCTTTCTTATGAATACCTACATTAGTTATAACCTGTTCAGATTTCTGAAACGCATGACTTTAAAGTTCGAATTTTCACTTTTCATTTTTAAAAAACGTGAATTTCTAGGTGACGTAACATGGGAGCTTCCGCACAACCTTGACAACTGAGCTTCAATTTGGTGTATGAGTCATCACGCTATCTGATCTGGTTTAGGAGTTATTGAGAAAAATTCAATGATTTAATGATTTTTCTTCAATGACTTAGAAAAATGTGCAACAACCGTTCAAAATGATGTCTCTGTTCTGTTATGCAAATGCTGAACTTCACAACCGAGTTTCCCTCACATTTGCAAAATTTATTGGTCTGGGGAATATCGTATGAGGAGGAATGGGGTTTTGATTTTAATAATCTTTTAATAAATGAATTTTTTCAACTGGCGCATGAATGAAACTCAGGGCTCAAAGGACAGATGATCGGAGTCGTTTTTTTTTGCTGACCGTTAGACTGTTAACCTTCTTCCAATTCAAGACTTTATAAATTTATTATCAAATTACTATTAAAGCGATTTTACAATGTAAATAGTAAGCTCTTTACTGCATAAAAGCATCGTGCACAATAAAAGTGAACTAGTATTTTCGCTTATCGTTCTCTTTCATCTTCAGAAATTTTTTTTTATTAAAATCTGTTAGAAATCTTTGTTATTTGAGTATAATTGAGGACGAGTTATCTTGAAATTAACATGTTGATTATTGACTAAAAAGACAGCAAGAATTGCTGGTGTATTTAGGAAAATATGCAAAAGGATTCGTGAGAGGCTGAAGATCTCCATTTATTATAGTTTGTTTGATAGTGTAATCACGTATGTATATGGGGTATTCAAAAATTCGGAGATTCTTCAACGAATTCAAAAAAAAGCTATCAAAAATCTTTTCGGGCACCATAGTAGAACACCAACTAATTTAATCTACTCAAAACATCATATATTGAAATTAAAGGATTTTAAGGAACTTGCACAAGTAACGCATATTCGAAATATTTTAAACAATAAAGTGAAATCCAGTACGCAGATCATTTTTAATAGCAACTTTCACAACTGTAGTACCAGAGTGGCAACTCATATGCGCAGTCATTCGGGTTATTTTTCTTTTGAAGTTATAACTTTTTTTTGATTTTCATTTTGTTAATTATTCATTAATTATTTGTTGTTATATTATCTTCTTAATTTTCGCTTATCGTTCTCTTTCATGTCAATAATCAAAATGGCGCCAGATACAATAACAAAGAAAAGCTGTAGCTCTTGTAAGACTTATTTAAAGGATAAGTAAAAAGAATACAATGTGATGGAACATGCAAAAATATGTTCCATTTGTCGTGTACTTCTATAGGAATCGAAGATTACAAAAAGTATTTGGAATCAGATAGCATTTTCTGGTTTTGTGCAAATTGTAAAAATCCACGCCAGCATCTTAGCTCAATTCTATCTTCAAATTTGGTAAAGTTTCTAGTCTTCCTGAGTTAAAAACCCGAGTCAATAATTCATTGGAACCAAAAATGAATCTAATCCTACAAAGAATAGACAGCTTTGGTGAATTGTTTACTGAAATATCGGAGAGGTTAAATAAACTCAGAGATATTGTGGATACTATAGTGGAGGAAAATATAAATTTGAGGAACGAAAACGAAATAAAAATAAATTCTAATAAAATTGAACGTATGAAACAAAAGGAATTCAATAATACTATCAAATTCATGGAATTCCAGAAAATGTTGAAAACATTGTGATGGCAAGCAAATCCATTTTTAATTCTATAAATATT